CTGACTTGCCCACACCAGCTCTCCCGAATACGGCCAGCTTGACCTCTGCACTCTTAGCCATGATGCGCGCTGGTGGGATCTGTGGCGGATGACCCGGGGCTCAGCCTCTGGTATCACGGGGTCATGGTGAGGCTGGGGAGAGACCGCGGTCCTGAAAAGCAAGGGTGGTTTGGGAGACTGGTAAGTGAACAAGGAACCAACTCCTGGTTTATTGAGCACCTACTACCAGCCGGTCACAGGCCCCGGGCTGTGTATTTCCCAGTGCCAACTCCACCAGGGCTGTGAGACAGAATTTGTCCTTGGTAATGATGTAACCAATCAACAGTGGACTCAGAAATGAGGGATGTACTCTGGCGTGGTTCTAAAACAAACTACGTCCATGTTCACCTGCAGTAGAATTTTTTTGTCTGTTCATCGTAGGTCTTGAACTCGGGGCCCAGGCGCCGTCCCTGAGCTCTTCAGCTCAAGGCTGGTGCTCTACCACTTGAGCCACAGCACCACTTCTGGTTTTGAGTGGTTCATTGGGAGATGAGAGTCTCAGGGACTTGCCTGCCTGGTCTGGCCTTGAACCACGATCCTCTAGATCACAGCCTCCTGAGCAGCTGGGATGACAGGCATGAGCCACCAGTGCCCGGCTTCCTGCCAGTATTTTTTATGTAGAATTTTTAAAGACAGGGTAAGAGAGAGGAACAGACAGACAGACAGACAGAGACAGAGACAGAGAGACAGAGAAAGAAAAATCCTTCGGAAAAGCATCTCCACAGACATAACAACACGGAATTATCTTTTTACTTATATATATGTGGCTGACAAATTCGGGGGCCTGCCGTTTGCCTCAGATGGACGGACAGAAGGAAGGAAAGACGGCCATCCACGTCAGCTCATGTTTCCTTTGTCTCCCAAGGATTCCATGTTTTAAAAACCCAACTTCTTGCTAATCACTAATGGGGCAAACGCCAAATGCGGGTGCATCTGCTGCATCTGTCTGGCCCCGTTCTGTCTGGCACCAAGATCAAAGGCTTTCCGGGTGCAGTGGGGTCTGCTGGGCTGCTGCCCAGTCTCTGCCTCGATTTCCCCCCACGCCACGCCACCAAGAGAGAAACCCCTTGTTATCTATTCTATGCATTCATGCAATGGAGCAGACAGCCCCACGGCCAAGGGTCAAGGCAGAGGCCCGGCACATTTGCATATATTAGCTGTATTTGCATACATTTGAATACATTGGGTTCATCTGCATGTATTTGCGTGCCCTGCTGGGTAAGTTCCAGGATCGTCGCTGGTTAGCCTGTCCTTGAACGCAGGGTCACGCATCCTAACGTGTAATTTCACGCCACACCCTCCCTCCCCACGCTCTCATGGAAAGTCATTAAAACTCCTGCCAAGGAACCAGAGCCGGGGCCGGGGGCGCGCCTCAGGGTAAAGTGCTCACCTGGCCTGCACCAAGCCCCAGTACCCGATCCACAGAAAAAGCCAGAAGGGGCGCTGTGGCTCAAGTGGTAGAGCGCCAGCCTTGAGCACAGAGAGGCCCAGGGACAGCGCCCAGGCCCTGAGTTCAAGACCCAGAACTGACCAAAAAGCTGACAAGGAATTTTCAAAGTTTTTCCTTCCTTCCTTCTTTCCTTCCTTCCTTCCTTCCTTCCTTCCTTCCTTCCTTCCTTCCTTCCTTTCTCCTCCCCTCCCTCCCTCCCTCCCTCCCTTCCTCTCTTCCCTCCTTTCTTCTTATTTTTTATTTTGTGTCAGTCCTGGGTCTTGAACTCAGGGCTCGGGCGCTGTCCCTGGGCTCTTTCACTCAAGGCTGGCGCTCTACCACGTGAACCACAGCACCACTTCTGTTTTCTTCTGCGGATGTGGTGCTGCGGAATCGAACCCGGGGCTCCGTGCGTGCGGGGTGAGCGCTCCCCCGCATGCCCAGCTCCAAAGGAAAACATCTTAATGAAAGAAAAGCAGGGAAACGTGAAGTCTCCCAATGCTGGGTTCCTACCGTTAGCACAGACCGATGCCTGCGGCCATGATGCACCTGCGCTACAGACGCCCCCCAGGGCTGCGGCCACCCTACGCCCGGGGCCACGCGTGGCTGGTGTGGAGGTCACCCTACGCCCAGGGTCAGGCGTGGCTGGTGTGGAGGTCACCCTACGCCCAGGGTCACGCGTGGCTGGTGTGGAGGTCACCCTGGGTCTGGGGTCAGGCGTGGCTGGTGTGGAGGTCACCCTACACCCAGGGTCAGGCGTGGCTGGTGTGGAGGTCACCCTGGGTCTGGGGCCACGCGTGGCTGGTGTGGAGGTCACCCTGGGTCTGGGGGTCACGGTCACGCGTGGCTGGTGTGGAGGTCACCCTGGGTCTGGGGTCACGCGTGGCTGGTGTGGACGGTCACCCCAGGCCTGCACACGCTCCCATCCCCACAGCTTGATTCAGTGCGATGATCATCCGCACATCGAAGCTATCAACCCATCCACGCAACACGGACGCTGGAGAACATCCGAGGGCCATGTGGGTGTGTGTGCGTGTGTGTGTGTGTGTGTGCATGTGTGTGTGTGTGTGCGTGTGTGTGTGTGCTTGTGCGTGTGTGCGTGTCTGTGTGTGGGCATGTGTGTGTGTGGGTATGTGTGTGTGTTCGTGTGTGTGTGCGTGTCTGTGTGGGTATGTGTGTTGGGGTGCGTGTGTGTGTGCGTGTGTGTGCGCGTGCATGTCTGTGTGTGGGTATGTGTGTGTGTGTGCGCGTGTGCGTGTCTGTGTGTGGGTATGTGTGGGGGTGCGAGTGTGTGTCCGTGTGTGTGCGTGTGCATGTGCGTGCGTGTGCAGGCCGCGGTTTCTCGGTCCCGGGTGGGGAGGGCAGCTCTACAATTGTGAACACTCACACGCCTCTGCTCTGATGATTTCCCCCAGGATCACCGCGCACACGGGAACCCAGGCGGGTCTCGGGGTCCAGGATGACCCGCCCTCCTCCCTCGGATAACCTCCTCCTCCTCCCTCGGATAACCTCCTGCTCCTCCCTCGGATAACCTCCTCCTCCTCCCTCGGATAACCACCTCCTCCTCCCTCGGATAACCTCCTCCTCCTCCCTCGGATAACCTCCTCCTCCCTCGGATAACCTCCTCCTCCTCCCTCGGATAACCACCTCCTCCTCCCTCGGATAACCTCCTCCTCCCTCGGATAACCTCCTCCTCCTCCCTCGGATGACCTCCTCCTCCTCCCTCGGATAACCACCTCCTCCCTCGGATAACCTCCTCCTCCTCCCTCGGATGACCTCCTCCTCCTCCCTCGGATGACCTCCTCCTCCTCCCTCGGATGACCTCCTCCTCCTCCCTCGGATGACCACCTCCTCCTCCCTCGGATAACCTCCTCCTCCCTCGGATAACCTCCTCCTCCCTCGGATAACCTCCTGCTCCTCCCGCCGACACCCCGCCCTCTTCTCCGGGTCCCGCTCTCATCGCGGGGCGCCGCCCCCATCTCCAGGGCGCAGCACAGCCGGTGCCCGACCGCCTGGGCCGCGCAGACCCCACGGCGCCCCGCACAGACCCCACGGCGCCCCGCACAGACCCCACGGCGCCCCGCACAGACCCCACGGCGCCCCGCGCGCAGACCCCACGGCGCCCCGCACAGACCCCACGGCGCCCCGCCCCGCGCACAGACCCCACGGCGCCCCGCACAGACCCCACGGCGCCCCGCGCGCGCACAGACCCCACGGCGCCCCGCACAGACCCCACGGCGCCCCGCACAGACCCCACGGCGCCCCGCACAGACCCCACGGCGCCCCGCACAGACCCCACGGCGCCCCGCCCCGCGCGCAGACCCCACGGCGCCCCGCGCGCAGACCCCACGGCGCCCCGCGCACAGACCCCACGGCGCCCCGCGCGCAGACCCCACGGCGCCCCGCGCGCAGACCCCACGGCGCCCCGCGCGCAGACCCCACGGCGCCCCGCGCGCAGACCCCACGGCGCCCCGCGCACAGACCCCACGGCGCCCCGCACAGACCCCACGGCGCCCCGCACAGACCCCACGGCGCCCCGCGCGCAGACCCCACGGCGCCCCGCACAGACCCCACGGCGCCCCGCGCGCAGACCCCACGGCGCCCCGCACAGACCCCACGGCGCCCCGCACAGACCCCACGGCGCCCCGCGCACAGACCCCACGGCGCCCCGCACACAGACCCCACGGCGCCCCGCGCGCAGACCCCACGGCGCCCCGCGCAGACCCCACGGCGCCCCGCACGCAGACCCCACGGCGCCCCGCACAGACCCCACGGCGCCCCGCACAGACCCCACGGCGCCCCGCACAGACCCCACGGCGCCCCGCGCCGCGCGCACTGCTCACCTCGGCCTCCCGCGGCCCCGCGCCCCAGGCCCGGCGGCGGCGCTCGCTGTCCTGAGGCCCGGCCGCTGCGGCGCCCGCTGGGAAGGGCGCGGACAGCGGCGGCTGCGCGGGCCCGGGGGCGGGGCCTGGGCGGGGGCGGGGGCCTGGGCGGGGGCGGGGCCTGGGCGGGGGCGGGGCCTGGGCGGGGGCGGGGCCTGGGCGGGGGCGGGGCGGGGCCTGACGCAGGTCCGGGAGCGGGGACTGGGCAGAGCCTGGGCGGGTCCGGGAGCGGGGACTGGGCAGAGCCTGGGCGGGCCAGGGGGGCGTGGCCTGGGCGTGGCCTGGGCAGGCCCGGGGACGGGCCCTGGGCCGGATCTGGAGTGCCCGGGACGGGGCCTGTGCAGACCCGGGGGCGGGGCCTGGGCAGAGCCTGGGCGGGCCAGGGGTCCGGGGCCTGGGTGAGCCCGGGGTCGGGGCCTGGGCGGGCTCGGGGCGGGGCCTGCGCAGGTCCGGGAGCGGGGGACTGGGCAGAGCCTGGGCGGGATCTGGAGGGTCCGGGACGGGGCCTGTGCAGACCCGGGGGCGGGGCCTGGGCGGGCCCGGGGGCGGGGCCTGGGCGTGGTCTGGGCAGGCCCAGGGGCGGGGCCTGGACGGGATCTGGAGGGCCCGGGACGGGGCCTGTGCAGACCCGGGGGCGGGGCCTGGGCGGGATCTGGAGGGCCCAGGGACGGGGCCTTGGCAGACCCGGGGGCGGGGCCTGGGCGGGATCTGGAGGGCCCAGGGACGGGGCCTTGGCAGACCCGGGGGCGGGGCCTGGGCGGGATCTGGAGGGCCCAGGGACGGGGCCTTGGCAGACCCGGGGGCGGGGCCTGGGCGGGGCCTGTGCAGACCCGGGGGCGGGGCCTGGGCGCCGCCACTCGCGCCCCCTGCCGGCCAGGCGGCGCCCGCACCCGGACCCGGATCCGCGCGCCCGCGGCCGGACGAGCCGCGCCGGCGCAGTACCGAGGAGGAGCCGAGGCTCCACCGCGGCCTAGCGCCGCGCCCCCCCCCCCCCCACCTCGGAGGCCGAGACCCGCAGGACGAGGTTCGGACCCAGTCGGAGCCGGAAGCCTGGAGCGCGGATCTGCGATGAACCTGCAAGAGGCCGAAGCGGAGGCGGCGCCGGCCGAGCACCGGGGGTCGGGGCGGCTCCAGGCGCTGGGCTCAGGCCCAGGACCGGAACGCACAGGCACACACAGGCACACGTGTGCACACAGGCACACACAGGCACACATGCACACACATGCACAGCGCACACACATGCACGCACACACACAGTGCATGCACACATGCACACACCGGCACACGTGTGCACACAGGCACACACAGGCACACATGCACACACATGCACAGTGCACACACATGCACACACATGCACGCATGCATATGCACCCACATGCACATGCACAGTGCACACACATGCACATCCATGCATGCACACACAGTGCATGCACACAGTGCATGCACACATGCACACACATGCACACATGTATATGCACCCACATGCACATGCACGCACACATGCACACAGACATGCACGCACACATGCACACATATATGCGTGCAGGCACACAAGGCACACATGCATGTGTGTGCGCATGTGTGTGCACACATGCGCATGCATACCCATGCGTGCACGCGCACACACAATGCATGCACACATGCACACACATACTAAATAGAATATAAGGTGCAGACGATAAAGAGACCCTTTAAAATCTGGCTGAACTCGATGTGTTCACGGCACAGTTCTGTGAGACCCTGGACAGATGGATGATCTACACTCAGAATCAACAGAACGCTCATGTGGACGCCTCCCTTTTATTTATTGATTGATTGATTTGTGGGTCGTGGGCCTTGAACTCAGGGCCTGGGCGCTGTCCCTGAGCTCTTTCACTCAAGGCTGGCGCTCTACCCCTTGAGCCACAGCACCACTTCTGGTTTTCTGGTGGTTCATGGGAGATCAGTGTCTCACAGACTTTCCTGCCCAGGCTGGCTTTGAACCTCAATCCTCAGATCTCAGCCTCCTGAGTAGCTGGGATGACAGGCGTGTGAACACCAGCGCTGGCCTCTGGTTGCTTCTATTTAATTAGAAATTCTGTTTGCTGGGATCCTGTCAAGTGACCTCCCCTGGCCTGCAGCTGCTCATGCTCCACAAAGCTGTGGTTTGAGGAGGAGGAGCAGGAGGAGGAGGAGGAGCAGGAGGAGCAGCAGGAGGAGGAGCAGGGGGAGGAGGAGGAGGAGGAGGAGGGATGGGGAGGAGGGGTTGCTATGGCCTCCCACTTCTCCCCCTCCCCATGCCCCTCCTCATTTGAAAGCTGGGCACTGGTGCTCCCGCCTGTCATCCCAGCTTCTCAAGAGGCTGGGCAGGAAAGTCCGTGAGACTCTGATCTCCAAGGAACCACCAGAAAACCAGAAGTGGCGCTGTGGCTCACATGGTAGAGCACCATCCTTGAGGGAAAGAGCTCAGGGACAGCGCTGAGTTCAAGCCCCACGACCCACAAACGAAAACAACACATCCCAGCATGGAGAGTGTGGGGATTGCTGCGGGAACTCGGTCTGCCCTGGACGGCAGCGGCTGCGTGGATCCCCGGCCCGCGCTGCCACCTTGTGGTCGGATGGGGAACAGCAGCACGGCCAGCTGTCCGCACAGAGGTCCCCCAGTGTCTGTCCGTCCACCGGTCACCTCGCTCCGTCAGCTCTTGAATATCACGGATTCCCACCTCGTTCCTTACCTCTGTGTGTCTGTGTGTTGTCTCTGTGTCTGTCTGCCTGTGTGTGTGTCTGTCTCTGTTCTGGTCATGAGGCCTGCACTCGGGGCCTGGGCGCTGTTCCCTGAGTTTTGGTGGTCAAGGCAGGCGCTCTACCGCTTGAGCCACAGCTCCACTCCTGGGCTTTTTTTGCTGGTTCCCTGGAGATTGGTGTCCCGCCGCGGGCTGTCTGTGTCCTTGCTTTCTCAGCCTCTGCTTCTGTCTGTCTCTGTTTCTGTCTGTCTTACCTTCTCTTTCCCTGTCGCCCTCCCTCTCCCTCTCCCTCTCCCTCTCCCTCTCTTTCTCTCTCTCTCTCTCTTCCCCCCATCTCCCCCACCCCGCACCCTGGACCCCGCATCCCCCAGCCCAGCCCGGCTCAGATCCAGGACCCTGCCCTGCAGCGCGGATGCCGGGCTCGGGGACGCTGCCCCCAGCTCGGTGCGGAGCAGACACCAGACACCAGACCCCGGACTCCGAACCCCGCCCGCACTGCCATGGGACAGCCGCTGCCCTCTGAGCCCCACCCATCCATCCACCCATCCCTCCATCCCTCCATCCCTCTATCCACTCACCCATCCATCCACCCATCCATTCATCCATCCACCCACCCATCCATCCTCCCATCCATCCACCCATCCATTCACCCACCCATCCATCCATCCACCCACCCATCCACCCACCTATCCATTCTCCCATCCATCCACCCATCCATCCACCATCCATCCATCCCTGCATCCATCCATCATCCATCCATCCACCCATCCATCCACCCACCACCCACTCATCCATCCACCCATCCCTCCATCCCTCCATCCCTCTATCCACTCACCCATCCATCCACCCATCCATTCATCCATCCACCCACCCATCCATCCTCCCATCCATCCACCCATCCATTCACCCACCCATCCATCCATCCACCCACCCATCCACCCACCTATCCATTCTCCCATCCATCCACCCATCCATCCACCATCCATCCATCCCTGCATCCATCCATCATCCATCCATCCACCCATCCATCCACCCACCACCCACTCATCCAACCATCCATCCCTCCATCCCTCCATCCACCATCCATCTATCCACCCACCCATCCATCCACCCATCCACCCATCCATCCGCTATCCATCCATCCCTGCATCCATCCATCCATCCATCCACCTACCCATCCATCCACCCACCACCCCACTCATCCAACCATCCATGCATCCACCCACCCCACCCACTCATCCATGCATCCGCCCACCATCCATGCATCCACCCACCCACCCATCCATCCATCCATCCACCATCCATCCATCCATCCATCCACTCACCCCTCCATCCACCATCCATCCACCCATCCCTCCACCCACCCCCCCTCTCCCTCTTTCCCACCCCCTCTCCTTCCTTCCCCACCCTCCCTCTCCAGGTATCTGTCGGGGTGGTGGGACCCCAACATTTGTCATGGTGACCCCCACGCTGCCAGACCCCTGGCCTTTTGGGGCACGCTATGGTTTGGAGATGAGTGTTCCAAGGAGGGAAGCTCCCCACCCCCCACCCCCCACCCTTGTTACCCCAAGATCCGTCTTGGTGCCCCACACCCTCCACAGCTGCTCCTGTGTCAGGGAAGTGGCTGCTTGCACAAAACCAGCCATCAACCCCAGGCCACCGGCCCTGCTTTCCCTCGGGTCCGGCCTCCTCCCTGCCCCGCCGGGCTGGTGTTCAATTGTGTTCTGCTGTGCCCCCCTCCCGCCGTGGAGCCGAGTGGAAGGTTCTGGAGTTTTCTTTGAGCAAGGGGTGTGGGGGCTAAGAGGTTCCTCTGCCTCTGTACCCCCCTCCACCCCCTCCACTCCCAGCGCACCTCAGATTCCAGGGGTGCGTGAGTTCACTTGGAGAGACGCGGGAAGAGGCAGAGCATGCATTGTTGTTGTCTTGTTTTTACACCCAAGTTGGACGCCTACTCTGTGTGTGTGTGTGTGTGTGTGTGTGTGTGTGTGTGTGCTTTTATAGATCGGCCCATTGTTAATATATATTTATCTGTGAGTTGTTGTGTGGAAGCTGTTGTTTATTTATGTATATATTTGCCTGTATGCGCAAACGCTTTGGGCACCGTGTCAGGTAGCTGTTTGCTGGGGAAGCGGGAAATGCATGAGGTTCTGTGGGTGTGCTCGGCTTTGAATTCCCCCCTTCCTGCCCCCCTTCCTTCGGCGCCCCGGGGATTGGGGGGATGAAGGGTTCACCCCGGAACACACGTGGGAGACGCAGACTCTCTGGCACATCAGATTCATGCTTGGCGGGGAGGATTATTCT